TACTGCCCCCTCTTGGTGTGTCTCTGTAGGTTTGGTTTGGATGGTGACTTCTCTACCGACACCTGCATTCCTCTCCGTGGGGTCGCCTTCCCCAATTCCTCTCTTCTTACCTTATACCTTTTGGCCCCTCGGGGCTAAGGACTGGACTGGACTATCATCAATGCATCACCGCAAAAAACATAACTATACAACAATCCCATGTTGTTGTTGTTATGTATGGGGTAGTGCATTTCAAAGACACATGGTCCCCCTTCCGCCATTGGTAAATCTCTCAAACTGTCATTATCTTTTTTTTTTTTTAATAAAGTTTTTACATGTTACAGAGGACTGTTATGGTTGAAATGACAGGTAAGTCAGGATAGGGTCAAAGATATGTGGAAAAAAGTGAACTACTTTGGTGGATAGAGGAAGAGATAGGTGGTTCAACTAACTCTTATTCTCACATGCTGCTGTTCTTTTTATGGACAGCAAATGGAATTATTGACCTTGATGTGGACCAACCTCACTTTTGTTTTTTTTTTTGTTCGAACGGTTAAGATTATTCGGATTAATTTATATATATTTTAATTAATTTTTTTTAATTCAATTAAAAATAAATCATTCACATCAAATTTAGAGATTAAAAACAGACTATTTATACCAAATTTAAAGTTTTCATTGAAAAATAAATCTTTCATAACATGAAATAAAGTTATGTCGGCTTTGAGAAAATGGATGTAGAACTTACTTGCTTCGCTTTAAATAATGGTTATGGCAGTATGCACTATGAAGGGCTAGCTTTTCTTTTATTTCCACTCCATGCTGGTTGATGACTCATCATCCAACTATCTGAGGGTACCATCAGGTTCTTCTCCTTCTTCTTCTTTCTCTCTCTCTCTCTCTCGGTTGGAAAGTGCCTAAGCAAACAGGTGAAGCTGTAATTAATTGGTAGATACATTAAAGGGTTATGTTGAGGTGCAATCCAAATAAAAAACTTTAAGCAAAAACTTCTTGCAAGGTAAAACCAAAATGTAAACTAAACGGTGACATAAACCTCCGTAAGCATGCTGATGCCAGTTTGCTGGATAAGACAAATTTTATTCATTACTACAGTTTTCTTAAATAGGACCAGTGATGGTTAAGTTATTTGCGATTACACAGTAATTAATAATAATAATTATTATTATTATGGTTAGAGAGTGTTTTTATCAATTTATACTCACCTCGATTAATGTTCTCTTTAGTTCGATCAAAAATAGACTATTCACATCAAGACTAAAAAATTTATAAGAGATAACTCCCTCATAGTCTAGCCTCTTGGGAGTTGTCAAGTTTTAAAGTTAAGATATCTAAATTTATAACTCATCATCGTTTCCACTAGACTACCCTTCAGGTTTAATTTAATTTTCAATCATGCATGACCTTTTTACCAATACCTAATGATATATAATTCCTTTTAGAGTAGAATTGATAGTACAATTCTCAAAAATAGAAAAAAAATGTGAGTTAAATGGTTAGGTTATGAGTTCCACTCCCATCCTTTAAATCTTACCCCAAAAAAATATAAAAAAAATTAACTAATCTAATAACCTATATTAATTAGGTCAGATTGCAAATTAGGACTCTATAGTATAGTATTTGTTATAATTTTAGAATTGATCACCCAAGTACAAGTTATGCGAAATAATAAACTTCTCGGGAGTTCGATATCGAATTATAGGGAATTGTGAAAAACTTAGAATACAAAGAAAAATAAAAGAAAACTATTTTGAAGAAATTGTTGTAGATATTTTGAAATTTAGTTTTAAAACAATAATTGAAAATACTAAAGCATCGGGGATACCCTTTCAAATTCACATAGTAATTATTAATGATCTAGTTTTCGAACTCAATTAAGAATCAACTGAGGAATGATTCCAATTAGAATATTTAGCGGTGATAATATGAAAACATCAAAAGTTATAATTAATAAATTATCTGAATAAATATAAGAATTTACTTGTACATCACAAGCATTCACCGTTTCTTGAGTCTATGATAAATCAAGCTTTCTAACAGGTAAATATTATTTTATTACAAATAATAAATCAACTATCTTGTGAGAAATTCTAATTAATTAATTCAAGTATGAAATAAACAGTTATTTGACTCGCAAGGAATCTCAAGCATTCGATGTACGTGGCAAAACGAATCAAAAATTATACAGAGCAAAAACTTTACTAGAAAACAAGAATTAAATTAAAAGAATAAATCATGCATTAAAAAGAACATCGAATCAATAATAAGTATCGTGCTTCATTGAAAGTATCTCCCCTAACTTTAGTTGGACTTTTAGCAAGTCATAGAACATAGAACAAAAACTAGAAAAAAAAAATGGGAAAAAAAATAATAATCCTTTCTAAATGAGAACCCTTATTTATACTAAAAATAAATCCTAAGTATAGGTAAAAGATATAAGATTGACTTGAAAAGAATTCATTTCTAAAAAAAAATCTTGTAAAGTTAAATCCCGTATATAAAATCTTTAGGGCGCGGGTACAAAATCTATCCAGACTTCAAGCTTGAATTTCGCATATTTAAAGATTGAATCACAAAAATTTCGTGAAATACACTTTTGTAACTCTTGAAGTTTTCTTTCCAATCCCAAAAATCAAGTAAATCGGATATCATAGTCAAAAGTTATAACTAAAATACTGAAGATGTGTCAAATCTTTATCTTCTAGATACTTTCCTAATCCAACTCTAAATGAGTTATCTTTGAACTTGGACTTTTATAAGGATTAAATTGCTACCATATCTTTAAATCTTTCTATTTTAATCATGACTCTTCAATCCTTATCAATTGTGAATCTTTCTCTAGTGATTGTTTCACTTGTATTATCCATTATTATTTTAAATAAACCAATTTACCTGTAAAGTAAACCAAACAACTATAAAAAATATCAAACTAAAAAATTAAGAAATTTAACACATTTAATCACAAATAATATGTAATTAATTAATAATTAAATATAATAAAATAATAATTTTGATAATTAATCAGTATTACTCATTTATATGATACCAAAACAATTTCACTCCAAGAAAATTACCTTTCTCAAATAATTTTTATTCAGAGAATGTTGCATGCACCGGCCTCTCAACACGTGCAACGACCAATCAAGTCCCACATAGTTGACTAACACTCAAGAGACTGATCTTAATAAATTATTATATTTTTAAATTTAAAACGTATGAATTTAAGACTTATTTTTGTTTGTACTTGAATTACCCGTTTAGACTATGATAATAAACCAGACCTGAAGCATAAAGTCACCAACCACCGTGAAGAATTGACAATGTGACACGTGGATAAGCCTCCAGATAAGCACAAAATCGTTTTACCGGGAAAGATCGTCAAAATCTAGACCTGGTTACCACCAGCCTAGCTGTGCCGTGCTTCTAGAAAACCGAGTCAAAACCCCAACAGAAAAAAAAAAGAAAACGGTTAAAAATGGTAAATAATTAGCACGCCGTTACTTTTACCAGAGAATCTGATTACCCCTTACGCTCTCTATTCTATAAAGTCACCGTCACGTCCGGTTTTAACATGATCCTCTTTTTTGGATGTCTCATCAAATTAAATTAAATAAAATAAAAACGACACAGTGGTGACAAAAAAGCAAAGGAAAGAGGCGCTGGAACCTTCACAAATTGGTTGAGTGCTTTAGAGAGAGAGAGAGAGAGAGAGAGAGAATAATACACACACATACTATATGCGTGTGTGTAATCACCAGATCTTCCTCCTCCATTACCAGCTTCACCGAGAATTTTCTTGAGAAAATTTGTAAACTTTCTCAGAAAATCTCCATCTCCTGTATACAGAAGTATTGTTTTTTTTTTTTTTTCTATATATGTATCAATTTGCAAACACGACACCAATAGAATAGCTCTGCGGATTGCAATCCAGCTCTTATTTTAGGGTTTTATTGAATTTGAGGTTCGTCATCACTTTTCCTCTAGATTTTCTCTTATGTGTATATGAATATATATTTCATATTTAAGCCTCTGTGTGTGTTCATATACATGTATTTGTATGGTTACGTTTCAAAAGAGAAATGCTTTTACTCTTTTATATTAATAACATGGTGTGAGATCTAAAGGGTAACTGGCATTGTTGGAATTTAAAGTCCTTTTATTCCTCTGAACGTTACTGTTGTATAAATGTGACAAGTAATGGTTGATGTACTCAGGTTTTGCTGGCTTTTCTCATTTCCGTATTGGGTTCAGAGGTCAGAACTTGGGTTTGAAATCTATTGATCTGTTTTCTGTTTCTGTTAAATCTTGGATGATAATGAAGATCTTCAGCTGAGTTTGAATTGTTATTAATCCTATTTTGCCTTTTGATTGGACTGTGTCATATATTGGTGAAGCTCGTAAATTGAACAAGTGACTGAAAACAATCTCTTTTTTTTTTTTTTTTTATTTATGTAAATAAGGGGAAGCCCTGCATTTGTAGTTGTGTGATGATTGGAGCATTCAGTGGCTTCAGATCTGTTTGCTTTTCTAAGATTGTGCAAATATTTGGGTTTTTTTGCGTGTTAAAAGCTTACTTGGTGGAGTGAACATTATGTCTTTCTCGGGGAAGTGTGAGTTTTCCTTTAATTTTGATGAAAAATGAAAGAAAAACGGGTAAGCTTTTTAGCTTTGTTTGGGGAGGGGGGAGGGGGTTGACTTCGATGTTGTCCACCACAAACTGTCATCAGACTGAACTTGCCTTTATGACCCAACACTCTAACTCTATCCAACATAATCAAAAGGATTTACATTACCTGCTTCAAACCACAGTCCTCCATCTTCTTCTTCTTCTTCTTTTTTTTTGTTCTAGTTTAATTTTATTTGTTTTCATATGTTTTTGTTGTTAGAGTCACTATTTTGGTTTTGATGATATAAGGCAACATACATGTGGATTGTTTTGCTAGGGAGCTGATTCTCTCTTGTGAATCTTAGGGACAAGTCTCTTCCTTCTGTCCCTGGCCACAATGTCAGGTATGTAATATTCTGTAATCTCTTTAAGGACGATATATGTCACTCTATAGTGATTAGAGTAAATGTAATAGTTTTTCTTGTGATTTTTCACATGTTAGGCTTAGAAGGACTTGAGGCTTGCGATGAAATAAGAGAAAGGAGATCAGACTTTGAGAACTCTGAAGATGAGAAACGGCGTTCTAAGATTGGAGTTCTGAAAAAGAAGGCAATAAATGCTTCCAACAAGTTCACTCATTCTCTCAAGAAAAGAGGAAAAAGGAAAGTTGATTGCAGGGTTCCTTCTGTTTCCATAGAGGACGTACGTGATGCAAAAGAGGAGTGTGCTGTCTATGATCTACGTCAAAAACTCTTTGACAGGGATTTGTTGCCAGCTAGACATGATGACTATCATACACTGTTGAGGTGAGTTAATTCTTATGAACTACAAACCATTACATCATTTGAGTTATAAGAACAAATTCGAAGTCTAAGTTGGGTGTAATCAATTCTCAATTTGCTTGATTAGCCACCTTGATTCAGGGAAATTGAAGCAGCCATTGTGTCCTACATGTGACTGTAGGAATCCAACTGTTTAGTTAATATTATTTCATTTCAATAAAAGGGACCCTTTAAGCCTAACAAATGACCTCTAAATGGTAATGTTTGTTCTATCTTCATCTGTTAGGGACAATTTTTTTTTTAAGTAGAAATGATACTCTGGGTTTGATTAACTTCATGTGCTAAAGTTGATGAGACTCAAAGGGAAAAAAATGTTCAGACGCGAGGAATATTGTTTTTTAGTTGTGAGCTGCTGCGCATAATGTGGTGAACTGCTGTGGTGTTTGGGTTTTCAGCTAGGTTTACTAATGTCTAATTTTGTGTGCCTACTATTATTGGTCAGCTAGTTTACTTATGTCTAATTTTGTGCACCGACTATTATTGGTTTGACCACCGATTATTCTTTTCTTTTCATGTAGATTCTTGAAAGCAAGAGATTTTAATATTGAAAAAACCATACAGATGTGGGAAGAAATGCTAAATTGGAGGAAAGACTATGGAATAGACACCATACTGGAGGTAATTGCACAAATTAACTCGACCAGTCTTTTAATATCGACAAGGAGCACTTGAAATATCTAAATATTCTTGGGCAAGCAGTTGCAAATCAGAGTGGTAATTTTATTTAAATTTAATGATAACAATTTGTATAATAGCACCATGACATATAGTTGTATTCTTAACCTATGCCAGTACTTCTAGGGCATATGAGTTCTATGGGTTTTCTAACAATTCAAAGCATGTCATTGTTAAAGCTATTTTTTTTATCCAATTATTGGCTGTCTAACTTACCAACATACTGAACCAACTGATACTCAGGACTTTGAATTTGAAGAATTGGAAGAAGTCTTGCAGTACTACCCTCAAGGATACCATGGAGTTGATAGGGAAGGCAGGCCCGTTTACATTGAAAAGCTTGGCCAAGCTTATCCAAGCAAATTAATGCGTACAACCACAATTGATCGCTACTTAAAATACCATGTTCAAGAGTTTGAGAGGGCTCTACATGAGAAATTCCCTGCATGTTCCATTGCAGCAAAGAGACAAATATGTTCATCAACAACAATTCTGGATGTGCAAGGCCTGGTATGTTACCCTATCACTTGACAGCATTGCGAAATTCAGCGCGGTTCATTAGAGAACTTATGTATTCCAGTAGCGCTTTATAGCTTTGTCAGACAGAATATAGATATTTATCATCTGCATATTGTTTTGTAAACATATATGGTTAAGAATTTATTAGTATTGCATTTAGCGCTTGTCTTCTGAGTCAGTATCAGAAGACATGCGTATATTATTGACAGTGGGGCATAAATAAGAAACTTAACGTTTCTTCCTCTACTAGCAACTGATTATTGCAATTTCATCTGTGCAGAATTTTACCGATAATAGATTATTGTGACATGCAGGGTGTTAAGAATTTCACGCCAACAGCTGCTGGCCTCCTGTCATCCATGGCAAAAATTGACAACAATTACTACCCTGAGGTATTCAAATCTGTGTTGTGAGATTCTTGACAATTACCTTCATGGACCTTTCCAGTATCTCGACGATATTTGAGTGCTTGGTTTTCCAATTGTTGTTTCCCACATTGATCTACAGACTCTACATAAGATGTTCATTGTTAATGCTGGTCCTGGCTTTAAGAAGATGCTTTGGCCTGCTGCTCAGAAATTTCTTGATGCAAAGACTATTGCGAAAATACAGGTAAGGAATGTATGCTTAGGCTTTTCTACCTTTCTACCCATTTAGTGCAGCATTAACTGACTGCTCATTGATATTCCCAATTTGTAGGTATTGGAGCCTAAATACTTGGGCAAATTACTTGAAGCCATTGACCCAAGGTGTGCCTATTTCCTCCTGTTTCCACCTCATATAAATCTTCAGCAATAAGATCATCTATTCATTGATTACATTTTCCTTCTTCAGTCAGTTGCCTGATTTCTTAGGTGGCTCATGCACTTGTTCTGCTGAAGGAGGTTGCCTTAGGTCTAATATGGGTCCGTGGAATGATCCTGAAATAATGAAGGTAAGCATAATTTAATTTGTTCTGTGGAATTTTTACATTATTTTGTGTCTTACGCATGATCTTATCGTGCATGATATCAAGTAGGAGAGTGTTTGCTTATCCAAACAATTGTACCATATTTTTATGTTAACCAATGTAATTCTGAATCATAGTTGTTTGTCCCATTTGTAGCTTGTATATAATGCAGAGGCAAAATTTGTGAGGAAAATCACCAGAGTATCTGGTGACCTGCAGAAATTTGATTCTTATATACAAATATGCCCCTTGAAGGCAAGTTGCTTGGATCTGCATTATGTTGATGGGCTTTATGATATCTTGTATACTGTGTAATACGACTCATTTTTGTGTTCAGGGAAGAAGTGGTAGTACATCTAGGTTGGAACCAGCGGTAGCTGTTGATGACCCTTGTTCTCCAACAAAACAAATTAGCTCTACGTATTCACAATTTGGTCCAGTCTGTGAAGATGTGAGTTCTCCTATATTTAATTCAAATCCTGCGTCCCTTGGGTCAAGGGCAATCTTCTGAGATCCAGTTTGCTAGGTTAATCAGAAGGCTGAACTCTCTCTCTCTCTCACCAAAATTGTAATCATCCAGGATGGAGCTGCTGAGCCAGTTATCTACTACAGTTGCGATGATCACTTTACCGAGGCTGATAGAGCTATTGGCACTGACCAAGGAATAGGATGTTCTCAGAATCAATCTTCTAAAGGTTATGATGCGGAGAATTTTTCGAGCGACTTGAACCTGAATTCAGAAGGTATGTTTCTCTGTTGGTTATTATCTATTCCTTCAGAGAGGGTTCCGCTGCATGAAAATTATTTTCCAAAGCACAGGGTGAAGCACTGGTTTTGTTTCTTGGATGCTTCTTTTTTATTTTAGACTGAAGGCTGTAGTGTTTATTCTAGTTTTACTCCAAAATTCATGGTGTTTATCTACTTTCTGCAGAAGCAAAACCAACATAAAAGAGTTAAAGCATAGTTGGTAAAATCTTTAGAGAGTAAAGGAATGTTACAAGAGCTTTGATTCGAGTGGTAATAATAGTGGTTAGGACTTGATAATGGCTTTGGTAGTTGCACACAGGTAGAGCAAAAATTTTTGTCTTCCAAAGAATGATGAAAATGCATTTTCCTGTTGTTACTGCCTTTTTTTTTCTTTCTGGACTAGCAATTTTAAAATTCATTAACAAAGTGTTCTTTTCATTTTGTGTTTCTTCTTCTTATTCATCATCTTCTTTTGCATTAATAAATTTAGAGTATTTCAAATGCTGACCTAGTGAAATGAAATTAGGTTAATTTTAGCATTTGTTCATAGTCACATTAATCGGTCTCTATTTTATCATCCTTTTGTGAGATTTATATCTGATATTAACCTGTTATTTCAGGAGCCCAGGTGATCCATTGGTTTGACACAATCAATGAAAAGGTTGTAAAGAGGAGTTTCCGTTATATGGCAAGAACATTGATATCATTTATTGTCAAACTGCATGCATTTCTTCGTAGTGTACCCTTTGAGTTCTGGAGAAGACATAACAACATATATCCATCTAATGCGTTAGAAGACAATCCAGATAGCCGTTCACCTCTTTGTCCTGAAGCTGTCAGTGAAGAAGATCGTGTCCTTCCTTGTGTACAGCGTCTTCAAAAACTTGAAAAACTACTCGAAGAACTTAACAAGAAGCCTGCTGAAATTCCTTTGGAGAAGGAGCAAATGCTTCAGGAGTCAATGGACAGGATCAAATTGGTGGAGTTTGACCTTGAGAAAACTAAGAGAGTAAGCCTCATCATCCCTGATTGAAGTGTCAAACTCTTTTCGAGTGACTCATTATTTAATGTGTTGTAGGTAGTACATGCTACAGTGGTGAAGCAACTTGAGATTGCAGAGTTGCTGAAGAATCTGCGGGAGTCCAAATTTCGAGTAAGTCACTCTTCATTAAAAAAATTGGCTGTCCATGATTTCAGATGAATATTTGTTAAAGGAACAAAAAAAATTGGCATAGATCCATCAGTAGGTGAACGCCTGAACCTAATGACCATCCTAGTAATTGACAATTGAACTGAGGAAGCATGTAGATGACTTTTAGGGGCATTTTTTTTTTCTCTGTGACCCTTTTTGGTTTATTCCACCACCGAATATTTGCTTGTTTAGTTTGGTAGAACCTGAACCCAGTTCTGTTGTGCTCCATTTGAAGTTTTAATATCCTGAGAGAGGAAAGTTGGTCAGTCTTTTGAAGCACCATACCAAGTGTTTATATGAACGAAATAAACTATGCTTCCACTCATCCCAATGTTCATTCACCATCCAATAATTGCATTTGTTTTCGTATATCCTTTCCAGACTAGCTCTGACGGCTAGGTTTCTTTTGCAGCGAAGGTTATTTTGTTGAATTCTGCAACTTGAAATTGGAGTAACCTGCATATCTTGAACATATTATTTCAAGAGGTCAGTGCAAAAAGTATGCCTTATTGGGGACATGGCCGGGCAGTTACACATACAGCCAGCCAGACGTTTTCTTTTCTTTTTTGTTGAACAAAAAAAAAAACAGTTACTAACAAGAAGCTAGAGTTATAGCCATGGGGGTTGTTTCCCCAAATCAGATTTTCGACAGTGTAGAGCAAAAAAGGCTTAATGCAAAGTTTTACAGTTGGGCGTGTTCTTGTATTCCTCCCTTGTCATTCTTTCAATTTATCAGAGGATGATGCAATGCTTTTTGGAGTCATATGTGATGTAATTTGCACCGCTATATAATGAAATTCAACAAATGAAGTTTGAGAAACTGAGCCCATGTGTTTGTTTTTGGGAACGCCGGTTAGCTATTTCTCACATGGTATTCAAAGAATTTTGCTTGGCCTTATGTAGAGGGAGATAAAATGATGTATCAATTGATTGTGCCTCGACCATGTTCAGTCAGCTACATCGACCTCTATGGGCAGTACCCACTGGACCTTCTGCCAGTGAATGCCAGGAGAGGAAGCAAGGCTTGCATGCCCTGCTCTGCTTTATCACCAACAAAATCAGCCAATGCCAGTGCAAGTCTGTCGGATCATAGCGAATCTTTTCCCATTGCTAATGCTTACAGGAGGCTTTCTACTCTGGTTATTGCCCTTGTTTTGGAGGCTCAAATATCATTTTCTGTGCAGTGCAGAGGCCCACATTACCCACTTAAACAATGCTGTGCAGAGCAGCTTTCAAAGAATTTGCTATGCCTTGTGCTGTGGAATTGAATGATGTATCAAATAGTTGTGCCTCAACCTTGTTCAGCTACCTCAACCACTACGGGAACTACCCACCTGGCCTTTTTGCCATTGAGTGCTAGGAGGGGCTACAAGAGCTTCCATGTTACACTAGCCTGATAATGCCCAGAGTTCAATTCATGTGCGTGTTTATGAGCAATACTATAGACAGCTAATCTGGAGATTTAATCTAAAGACCTAATAATGTAATTTTAATGTAATCATTAAATTAATTGTAAATTCTAATATTTAATGAAACTGATTATTAATTCAATAATTGTATAGAATTAGGTCTCCAAATTAGAGTCAAGTGGCATTTTCCGTGTGCTTATTGGTGATTGTGTTCATTTCGGATTTGTGTTGCAGTTATGTATGTTTGGGATGAGCACCTGTCATAAAAAGAAAAAAAAATTCTTGAAGATTAACAAAATTTGCATATAAGTATCTGTGACCAAAGTTGCAACTCCTTCAATCATTTGCTACTTTGGATCTTAGTATTGTAGACCAGGATGTATCGGTCCTTTTGTCATTTGTTGCCCGGATATGGTATGTGTGGCTGTGGATGGTTTAGATTACACCAAACCACAACATATATTCCCTTTCTTCTTCTAATAGCCATAAGCTGAATGGTCTTTTTAGAATTCCCTCATTTCCTGCAAATAAATCTCTTGTAACAGTGCTGAATGATTCTTCTCCTATAACAATGTCTTTCACATGGCTGCTTCTTTGGTAAATCCATTGCTTCCAAAACAGAACCACCTCCCTTCAAAGAGAGCTACAAGAATCCCAAAACCATTATCTTGCTTCAAATGTGCCACGACGTCCAGGAAATCAGACAACTACATGCTCAATTGATCATGTCAGGACTGATCGGACACCCCCTGAATGCCGGTAGGCTGATTGAGACGTGCGTTTCTGCATGCCAAATCGACTATGGTTTAGCAGTCTTTAACACAACTCTTTCTCCCGATATATTTGCCTACAATACAATTATTAGAGGCCTAATACTGGGTAAGTGCCCTCATGATTCAATCTTACTATATGATAAACTCTTATTGCGTGGCCTAACACCTGACAACTACACTCACACATTTTTTCTCAAAGCATGTTCGCACGCGAAAGCCCTTTCCGAAGGTAAACAAGTGCATGGCCAGATAATTAAGGCTGGAATAAGATCAGATACTCACGTTCATAGCTCGCTAATACATATGTATACGAATTCAGGTTGCCTAAGTTCTGCAGAACGAGTTCTTGCAGAATTCTCTGAAGAGAATGTACTTGCTAAGAACTCAATGATTACCGGTTACATGAATCACGGTGATATTGACACTGCTAGAGAAATGTTTGATACAATGAACATAAAAGATACTGCATCTTGGAGTGCAATGATAACAGGATACACAAAGAATGGAATGTATGGGGAGGCATTGTTGATCTTCAGAGAGATGATGGCTTCCCACATCCCATTGAACGAATCAACCCTAGTGAGTGCACTATCTGCCTGTTCCCATTTGGGAGCACTGGATCAGGGAAGGTGGATACACACTTATCTTGACAAAAAAATCGTCAAGATTAGTGTCTATCTAGGAACTGCTCTTGTGGACATGTATGCCAAGTGTGGATGCATTGAGTGTAGTTATGAGGTCTTCAGGAATATGCCCCAGAAAGATGTGGTGACATGGGGAGTTATCATTTCTGGATTTGCCATGCATGGACAAGCCTTAAAATGTTTCAAACTATTTCAAGAAATGGTTGATAATGGGACTCACCCGAATGATGTTATCTTCGTGGCCATCCTCACTGCATGCTCTTTTGCCGGGCATGTTGAACTGGGCCACCGGTATTTTGATCAGATGGTGCATTACTATGGCATTAGACCATCCATCGAACATTATGGATGCATGGTAGACCTCCTTGGTCGTGCTGGTAGGTTGACAGAGGCAGAGGAACTTATCTCATCAATGCTGGAAAAACCAAATTCGGCCATATGGGGTGCATTACTGAATGCTTGTAGGATACATAAAGACGTGAAGAGAGGGGAACATGCATTCAAGCAGCTAACTGAGTTGGAGCCGACATCTGGTGAGAGGTATAAGTTAGCAGCTCATTTGTTTGCTGATGTGGGGGAGAGAGAAGATGCAAATGAACTTAGGAAATTTGTGAAGGATACAAATGCAGAGCCAATATGTGGGTCGAGCTTCATTGAGGTGGATGGCATGGTTCATGAGTTTGTGGTGGCAGATATTGATCATAGCAGGGCCAAAGATATCTATAGGATGTTGCAGGGATGAATTAGTTACTTGCTAGTAAGGGAGTGAATTCAGCTTATAGCAGTTTTGTTCAAACGTAATCCAATTCCTGAAAACAAAAGAAAACAACATTTAGGTTAAAAACAGTCAAAGGATCACACTCAAAAAAGCAATTCAACATAGTCCAAAACTAAGAGTAGGGGAAAACCTTAATCAATCTTGAACAGTACTGAATCTGGAAGATCATAATACTTGGAGTAGACAAACATTGAAGGGATAAGTAACACCAGTCTATCTAGCAACTCTTGCTCCAAACCTATTTCTTTTTCTTTCATCACCATCTCAGAAGGGCCGTGCACCTGCTGAAATATCCATCTTTCTACCCACATCTCATAAAGCAACAAGACTAAAACCAGGTTCTTTATTCTGATTACAAAAATCTCAATATAGCTATAGTGTAGCTGACTTTAGCGCTTGCTGTAATTATAACCATCTCGGCAAATAATTTGTACGACTATAGTGTTTCTGTCATGGTACTATGGGGTCATTCCTGTGCATATAATTCGTATGAATGGTTTCGCATCAAGATATCCGACTGAAGAAATTGGTGCAGATTCAAGAAAAAGGATTCCAATTTTAAAACCAAACCATTCCCAATAATTTGAAGAAAATCATTTCTGTCTGTAAGGCTTACAAATGGTACTTAGAAGTAAACATCAACTTCTATCTTATGAATGTGCATACCCTTTCCGCTCACAACTTTGTTGAAGCAAAAGAATTACAGTAACTCTGATTCTAGGATGCTCACAATCCAACTTTAACAGCATATGGATTCTCTGTTTTCAGAAAATGATACAACAATTCCATCTGACACTTTAGGTCTTCTTTATTCATTGCCTCCAGTTCATTGACTAAGTAAACTCTCAAAAGAGTGCTAGTGGAAATAATGAAAATATCACCATATAAGGTTGCGTCTGGACTTGAATTGGAACTGCTTATTTGTCATGCACCAGGAACCAGGGAAGGTGCTCAGCTGCATCAACACAAAAACAGCCACACTTAAATCATGAAGCAATGATGGACCATGATATATAGTCTTACACATATTTCCTTTTGACCTTAAAACCAAGTATGTCAAGGATAACAGTCTGCTTCAATTCAATCTAATCCATCTAGTAAGGGAAGAGAGCAGTTTGTCAGGCAATTTTGGTGTGGAGAATCTATGTGAAATAACTTCCTCTCTCTTTCTTTTCTTCCACTTAGATGTAATGAGAGAGAGCCAAACACATGCATAGCATGTGGCCTACCCCGGGCACCCCATAGTGTCTGAATAATTTTCTGAGTTATTAAAACCTGTCTTACTTTTTTTTCAGACTAAGAAATATTACGATTCAACCCAAAATCACTTGAGGAGGACTTGATGGAGAATCTCCCTCAAACTTATAAATGTTCTAAAATATGGATAAGCATGAAATAATGGATGTTAACATCAGTATCTTTTGAATGTCAAATCATGTTTGATTAGAAAGTGCGATAGCTTACATTGCTGATAAGCTTTGCCCCAAACCATGCAGAATCTGTACCATAAGGGGGAGGGATAACTCTGATTCCACTGGACATGGATGGGGGAAGACACTCATGCAGTTCCTTCTCTAATCTTTCTGGAAAAAGGAGTTCAAAAAGTTAGCAACCTCCATTCAGCATTTAAATGCATATCATCCTAGTTGCATATTTTATGCATTACCCTATCATATATATTCCTTTAGTAATTTCCGAGGACCGACAGAATTGGAAATTTTGATTTTCTCATCTCATCTCCTATCTTTAAAATTTAAATTAGTAATTTCTACCTGATAGTCCCGGTAAACACGCAGACCCCCCCAGCCAAGACTACAGTCTTAAACCAACCATCATCGCCTGTTAATTCTGCATCTTGGCAATGATCTATGCAAAGTGCCACAGCCTGTTGCAAACCCATTGCACGCCTGTACCAAAAGGGACATCACAAATGCAAATGCATCATACAGAGAGAAAAGCAGCAGGAAACAGCACACAAAGCTAATGGGTATGAGTCTATGAGACATCACTCATCAAAGAAATCTCCACAGTTTCCTACCCCTCCTCCAAATTAAAAAAAGAAAAAGAAAAAGAAAATTTGACTACTCAATTAATAGTGATAAACACCAGTCACGATCTTACAATATTCATCTGCTTTATCAGGTTCGTGCTTCAGCAGTTCAAGCCTTGGCAAAAGAACTTGCTTTGGCAACATTTTTATTATATCACTACTAAAAACCAGTTTTTGATGTCCAAGAATATTAAAAATGAATATTATTTCTTTTTTGAAAGAGTGCTTCAAAAACACCATCTTATAAAGTAACAGAATGTAAGGGAACATGAACATACACTCCTGCAAGCCGTGGCTGAAAAAGAATCTCTCCTGTTTGAAAGCGCTCTTTCGACAGAGTGAACAAGGCTTCTGCAACTTTAAATGATGCTTGTGTATCTTTTGCTAGCTCAGCTTCATAATCAAGAGCGACATAGCACAGGTTCTGTGATTTCATTCAAGGAAGATAGCATCAAGCAACAGGCGACAAAATGTCACCAGAAAAGTACAAGCAAGGTAAAAGTAACTAACTGGAATCTATAGTTGTTCTTTATAAAAAGCCCCCTCTCTCCCTTGCTTTTTACCCTAAAAATGTGAGCGGAAAAATAGAAAGAACCTAAAATCATTATGAATGACTAAATGAATTAAACAGATAGAAACAGTCCTTTATGGACTGCTAAGTTATCTGGGCTTCTGACAATTGAGTTCACAAAGGTCACCCCTCCACTATTTTCTGAAGGTGCCTGGAAAGCATGCCTTTCAATGGATTTTAATGCTTTTGTGTGATCCATTGACCAGTGATTCAACATCGTAGTTGCAGAATCTGGTGTAATGATCCAATCTGACTTAAAAAAATATCGTACACCAAACTATACAATATTGTACTTATGGTTATTTCCAACAGCCCCTTCAGTGGAGTAACAGTGTAACACCAAACTGTACAATATTATACTTATGCTGCCAATCATAATGATCTCCGTCATGTCTTTACCAACAGTGGCTTGGATAAAACTTTCTGATAGGACCCTCTCAGTTTTTCTGTTCACTGTACATTGTTTCAGGATTGGTAAATGACTTGGAAGACAAAAACTGTCCTTGATCCTATAAGATAAGACACCAAAGGGACATTATTGTGGGAAATAAAATAAAAAAAGAATTTTGGAGACTTAGTGTTACTCCATAGAGCTTCCTAACTTTGACCAACATTAACTTCACAATGCCAATGTTAAAATCGACAATGTGACATATGTCGATGATGTTGCCTATCCCATATAAATACATACGTACTTAACATGCAATGGCCAATACTATACCTATTTTAATAAAACACGACCATTAGTTTATGTAGAAATTTTGAATGAAAAAGGATTTATTCAATTTATAAAATTTGTCTTACTAAATATTTAGATTTATTGGATCTTGTCCAAATTCACTCCATTTATGGTCCCACTTATAGTGTGGAAGTTCATTCAACAGGTTTTAATTGAGGAAAGAAATTTAAAGGCATGCATTAAATTAAAACTGGAAATGGGTTGAATTCAGGTGGTCGGGTCATGTCATTAAGTGTCTTCCCAGTGCATTAGAGGATAATCTGAACGATACCTACCTGACTTTAAACGTGAAAATAGTTTTCGAAGATGGAGACATAACATCTCTTGTTCATGTTCTTTGCTCACAATAATAAAAATTCGCAATCCCCCAATATAAGAACCTATAACAACCAATGTCACTAAGTGCCCCTAAAGTAATAAAGCAATCCTGATTATCAAAGATCATGTGGCACTATTTAGAGCACGAACAATCACAGAAAAGGTTAAGCCCATGGCTTATTAGCATGTAGCATAAAAATGGTATCCTGTAGTGGATGAACAAAGGATGAATTGATACCTCCTTCAATGAACGCACAGTATATAATGAATCAAAATGCATATTATGCTGTTGCATCTGCTCCCTAAGGAATCCAGTAAGCTTTAGTGCCCCCATTCCCATGACTTCCACGCCCACCTTGCGCATTACTTGGCCATGAAAAACTGCAGAACAAAATAGAGAACACACAGAACGGATGACAAGCACTACTGTACACAATAAGTAACGTATATGTCAAGCACTTGAACTACTGTATGCATCACGTGTGAAAAGTTGAGAGCAAAGTTAAGTGGATTACAAAAAGTAAACATCCATGCATCATCTTAAACATGAAGGGAACCAAAGGATCCTTAACTCTCAAACAGGCAATGATAGAGGGCTCAATCTAAGCAATCAAAGTGAGTTAAGAAATAAAATGCAACCATCCAAAATTTCACACAGATCAAGGCCTAATGCAGTACACGGCAACAACATTCTCATATATAAATTAAGGCCCACTACACTACACTGAAACAAAATTCAATCGGAAGGAAGAGGATCGGGATAGCTTACCGGGAACAACAGATGTTTGGTGGAAACCAATGTTAACTACAATTCCTGAAGTCCTTCTAGCCGCGAATAAAGCTAAAGTTGCCTGCACTTCTAACAGAGATTGAATTAGAGGGGTAAAACATAGAAAGAACATTACACATTTAATTGGTCATTCCATGTCAAAAACAAAAAGAATAAAGTACACAAAAAAAGAATCTATTCTTGATGCAATTTACAAAGATGAGAATGAGTTCGTAAACAAAAGCATCCAATCCTTCAGTGTGATACTGCACTAGCAGAATGTTAATTCGAATTAGAGTTCTGGTTCATAGCTTCATGTTGCGGCTGACTAAGATATATCTTCTAAGAATGTTAGTATACGTACCAACAGCAGCCAAAAATACTGTGCAGACCGGTCATGAAACATGATTTGTTAGGTGTATTTCATGTAAAAGGCAATACAGTCAGTTAGTCGAAGACCTAAGTCCAATTAGTAGGTCTCCACCACTTCAGGGACATTGCAGATCCCAAATGGAATCTCACATTGCATTATCTATTCTTGAAAGCTCATCACTTAAATAAATGAGTGGTACTCAGGAGGCCAATAACCAAGTCTTTTCCCGATGGTTCCCAATTACATTGAAGTCTTCTGACTGGTAATGGGGAGTTAATGTAAGTCCGTAGATCCTTCAATCATCGAGTACACTACCAAGTTCCCAAACTTCTAAGGACAACATCCAGATAGACGCATATGGGAGGCCTGTGATGCTTCCAGAAATCAAAATTGCATCCCAATGTCGGAATATGGCAAAGGTGAGAAGATTTCTAGCTCTTAAATTAATAGGTTTGGTTTTTGACAAACAACAAAGATAAACACAACCACTTGCCCTAAAAACAATATATTCCTTACATGCCGTTTTCAACAAAATAACTGTATTGCATATGAGTTCCATACAATTTCAATCGTATTTCAGATCATATTCATGCTTGGTCAGCATTGGTGGGCCTTCATTTATTTTACATAAGTTTGAAGGTAGGTATCTGTTCCTACAACTTAAAGGAAGTTGAGCACAATGTGAGATCACAGAAGTAAACCTACTCCCTTCATATACACAATCTCATAGCTAAATTCACTACATGATTGGAACTGTGCATGGAAGAGAGGAAATCATGAACCATCAAGTCGGTCCCTAAACGCATTATAAATTAGTGAAAACTCAAGGAAGTAGAAAGGATACAAAACCCAACTCCATAAAATCTATAGAACTTCCTTATATCCCGCTAGTTAATTAAAGCTAGAAGAATATGTATATGACATGATAAATTGCCACAATGTTCTAGAAAAAGCCTGCAATTTTGGAGATACAATGCCAACTCTCAAAAAAACAACATTTTTTTCTTTTAGGGATTGGGTGGTTTGGGGGGAGAAGGCAGGCAGCATAGCCTTATCTAAACCAAACTCCCAAATGGAACAATAATGTTAACAATGGTGATTAGATTGTAGGAAAAGGGCATATGCCTCCTTCGGGAGCCAGATTACTTTGATAAAGGCATGCAAGTCTAGTACTTGTCTATATTATTTGTCTTTGTCTAGGATCCGGTTGATCTTGCTAAATGGCTATAGAAGATGAAGAGGATTTTCTTTAGTAAGGTATGGGAGATAATAGAAGATATCATTAAGTGACTTTTGAGGAAGTATGTAAGCCTAGAGATAACCAGGGTTTGGGACTTGGTACTTGAACCTAACTCCTTTTAGGAGTAAGTGAGGTCTTCAGCATAATGGTTGAGATTCTAAACCAAAACATAATGCAATTCATAAAAGTCCTTGAAAATCCATTTCACAGGTATACCATTCTCTTCTTCCTCTGATGCGTAACAAGGTTGGGATGAGTTTTAAAATTCTATTCTAGGAAGGAACTTGGGAAGGACAATCACTAGTTAAAGTTGTTTTTACACGTCTTTATTGCCCTTCTTTTCTTTGCTTTTTTTTGATCTCATCCTTTCTTTTCTTCGCGAGGCTCTTATTTCTAGTTTTCTTGTTATGTAGGAGGAATCTAACTCTTGGGATATCAGTCACTTTAAGCACCTCAATGATAGAGAAGTAAAGGATTTAGCTTATTTGCTCGTTATTCTTCATAAGAACCATCCTACTACTTCTCATGTCATCGATTTTGGACTGCGGATAGATCATGTCTCTTTTCTTGCAGCTATTTTTTTTTTTTAACTTCTATCTTGTTGGATACCCCAAACGCTCATTCTTTTCCCATAAACAAATTCATTTGCAAAGCAAAAGGGCACTCAAAAGTCAATGCATTTGTTTGGTTTATTGTTCTCAACAGTTTGAATACTAATAATTTGTTGCCGGTGAGAAAATCTAACAAAACTTTGAGTCTTAATGTCTCTTTAACTTGCAATAAGTGGTTTAAATGATACGAAAGGCATGGGTGTGCCATTCTACAATGGAGAAGTGGTCTCAGGATAAGCTCTAAGACTTTGGGAACAGTAAAGAAGCAAAGTGCTGTGGAATTCAGTGTTGAGAGCGATTCTTTGAAACGTTGGTTAGAGAGTAATGCAAGAATCTTTCACACTCATTCTGTACACTATCCTTAGTGTGGGACAAGATTACGTTCCTCGCTTCTTTATGAACCGTATCCATCGGGAATTCCTATTTTAGTTTTCTTTTTCTTGTTGTCCGCACTTATAAAGTTTTTCTTCTTCTATGAAAAGTTAATGTTTACAATGGCAATGCTGATGGTGATGGTATTGAACTAATGCACAAGGACAGATTGGCCCAGAAGAACAATTTTACAATACTGAACACTGTACATTTTTTGTCAAAATAGAGAACTGCTTAGTGTTCTTAATGCTAATGGTATGATGTAAACGGGTAGTCATGCCAGGAATGCTGGTAATGTATTGTCCATGAAGTATACCCTATCAATCACTAGCTCACTTTGCTTTGTTTATGATTTCTTTCACCTTACCCCTTCAATTCAATGTAAAATTTCTTATTGGTCAAGTGAAAAAAAAGGTAAAGTGGAGATTGTGAAAGGTTAAAAACAAGCCAGTACATATCATAGTTGTTAGTATTATACGATACGCGATACGTATCGTACAATACGGAGGTAAAACAATACGGATCGTATTTATGTATCGTTTTTGTATTGTATCGTCCGATACACGATACGTTTTTACGATATGATACGAATCGGTACGATACGACCGATGCGAGCAAACCTGTTTTTTTTTTTAAAGCGACGTCGTTATATATAAATAAGACATTAATTTTTTTATCCCCGCCACTGATGAAACGACGTCATTTTGTCTAAACAAGACACTAATTTTTTTTTTTGTATAAAAATTTCTGGATCTTGATTAATTTTATGGATTGAGTTCAAAATAAATGTTAAAAATTTGGATTAAAAGTCTCTTTGGTGTTTGAATTAGTGAACTATGGTTGTAAACTTTGCATTATAGTATTAGTGAACTATGTTGATGACTTAAATAGGTGGTGGAGTATTAATGAAATGCTATATTTTTATGAGTGTATGATTTTTTTTCAAAGGTACATATACTTTTTTATTATTTATTTAAAATTGCACCGTATCTTACGATACACGATACAATACACTATTTTTAAAAAACGATACGTCTTCCGATACACGACTTGATAACTATGCCCAAGAGGACATCCAAGTTGGCCAACCAAGACATACAAACAAGATTTCAAGAACCCACCTGCTACACTAGTTGCACTTTGTGTTCCCCATTCGATACTGTGAGCTGATATAGAGCGAATTATCTATTAAAAGGAAAAATAATGAATTCTCTTTCAACTGCTGCAGAGCTAATTTTATGTTTAGATGACAAGCATCTAAGGACTCTCACAAGTAAATTTGATGATTAACAACTACCTGGTTGATGGCACAAACAGCTGGAACATTCATGTCAAAAAGCGCCATATAGATGGTTTCTTTTAGCTGTCTTCTAGCCGCTTTGGCAGATTCAGTATCTGGAACACAATAATTACAATATAAAGAAGAAAGTTGTGATAAGGAATCTTTTAAGCTCAACCAGCCATAAATCACTATTAAATAAGAGGTCAGGTGGACTCATCATACAAGGGGGATTGTGACAAGGGGAGGAGAAACGATCATGAGGTTCTTCAAAATTTACTCTCCATTTCAACATAAACAGAATAATGGAATGTCAATTTAACAGTAAAACATTTCTTCTCTACAGCATAGGATGCTGGAGTTTGTTTGATGTCCAAAGCAGAAAAAGTGAACAAACAATCAAGCATCCTACAATTTTCCATAACAATTGATACCAAAAGCCTATACGAAATATATTCATAGACAAAAAGGATTCTATTGTAACCCATGCATCCCTATGATTCCAAAAGAAGCCCTCCTGGACAGAAGTTCTGTAATGTTAAGTTACAATTGAGATACATCGGCTATAATGTATTTCAAAATGTATCACACGTGGCCTGTACTGTTTTTCCCTCATTAATAAAGATTTTATTGGGGAAAAAATACACCAAACAACAAAGATAGCCCATGCTTACCCTAGGAATCATAGCGCCTCGATCCTACAAGGAAACACAACATGAACAAGCTATTAAGAAGATGGATCAATCACTAGCCTATTAATTAGTAGGCACACTACAAAGCAACAAAAACAAATATAAACCATCCAACTTTGTACAATATAAATTTTCATGATATTTTTTGGACCTTGTTTTAAGATATTTCTTCGAAAACCTTTGAAAGCATAACCTAAAACTCCATAATATATGGATAGCAACAGTTCGAATGAGAATCAAGTGTGTATATTTCATAAATCATTTGAGACTTCCAGAATATGGACTCTTGGACATTGTCCAGTGCCCACACGCAGGAATGAAAGGGTTTGTTGCTTAACGTATGTGGATTTCAGCAATCAAGACGAGCAATGTCAAATGGAATTCTAAGTCGTAGTTTTTCAGGTTGTTACAACCAATGGAAAACTTTATTCATCCTCTCATTTACTTAACTAGAAAATTGCTATGTCATAGGGCAGGGTGGTATAAGCTCGCAGACCTGGGTATTGAAAGAAAAGCGGGAAACTTTACCACCTAAGCTAGCTGGCAGCTTCCCTTATAAAAGGACTGACAATGAAGTTTTTACTTGAAAATGAAGGTACTCATCAAATTACGTATTACATATAGCATTTTTTTTGCTAAGCCTTTTAATTTGGAAATACAGACAGTTCTGAAAAGTCTCCACCAATGAAAAGTTTATAGACAGTACTCCTTTCAAAATTGCTCATTTCATGGATTACAAGCAATAGATGACTATGGATTTTCCAAGGAGCAAATGCCTCTTGTCCTGAGTAGTTATCTATTCATAGGATATTCCCCTATAACCGTCAAGAGGATTTAAGCTGTTGAGTTCCATCAACCAACTCATTACTTGGATTAACTGTTGTCCTTGATTGAAACATTCAAACTACAGCCACACATCACCAAACAGACTAAAATCACTATCTCACTCCGGGGGTGGATCTCTCATCTCTGTTAAACAATGCCTCTGATGACAGCAGGCTATAAAATCACTTCTCAATTATCATATTGTAAGCACGGATACACAGCTACGGGCATGAGAAATAACAAGTTTGGAGTAAAAAAATTAGAAATTTACCATCATAATGGCAGATTGGAACGGACACAATAACTGGCTGTGTGGATGTTTTCACTTGCATTCTGCATATGATCACAGTTTGAACATAATAAAAAATAAATAAAAATAGCTTGAGAGATTGTGATGAGAGTTTCTATCTCACATTGAAAAATGTAAGTACACACAGGATTTGTTTGTATACTTAGGGGACAACTCCACCCACTACTAATAAATTTTTAGTTAAACACGAACATGGTATTAGAGCTAGGTTTGGATGATTCGTGGAAAAATCTCACAATGTTGAATCCCGGTCTGTTTATCTGTTTGTTTCAGTTCAACTTCAATTTGGTTGCTTTTCTATTTCAGTTTGTTCGTTAAGCGACATGGGAACACAAGGGGCATGTAAGAGAGGGTATAGAGAGAGCTTATACTCCACATCAAAAAATAAGTATAAGAGATTGACTTATATACTTGAAGGACCACTTCACCCATTACTGGTTAGTTTTGGATTGGATGGTCTATTAGAGATAAGAAGCATCATTCAAGGCCAGATACATTAAAACATTGAGTGTTGTAACTAATTAGCATCTTGATTGACATTTAAATGAGTTCGCTTCAACTCCAACAAAAACAAGCTTACTACATGTCTTTCATTGTACATTTATTGGCAAAACACCAAACTACAAGAGCTATTCACATTTTTATGATGCGGAATTTGAGTCAAATATCGAGCATGTTTTCTATTAGACCAAAATATGATCACACTATTTCTGATTATTTATCTTCAGTTGAGAGTTGCCACAACAAAATGTTGAAAATCAAGGTACAAGAACAGCTCTTAATAGAGCACATGGGCGAAAGAAGATTCATGTAGCCTACTCAAAAATGTTGAGGCAAGGCATTGTTGAGTTGAGTTGAGTGCGACCATGTCTATACTAACTCAGGAAGTTTCAGGTGCAATGCATACTTTCAAAAAAAAAAAGGTGCAATGTATAATAGTTAATAGGATACGAACCTGCTATAAATTGTTGCAAAAAAATGTCGGAGTCTTGAATAAATGGGAGACTCAATATTACCAAATTCCTGAACATCAGGTAAATTTTCAAAACAGACAAAATGAAGCAGTTCTGAAATTCCCTAACATTCAAGGGATGAGGACCACTAATACACTCAAAAACTGCATCAAACTTCCTAAATATGGAAGGTTTTTCTCCAGAAAACTCCTAAAATTGCTGGCTGAAGAAGAAAGCTCACCAAAAAAGTTGCGAACCGCCCAGACGGAGAAGCATATTTGCTCCACCCAAATTTGCAATATCCTGAACCGCATTTTCACAAACATATGTTGAGTAATTAAATTACTAGTTTACCACTCAATTTATGCTGATATGGCAATTTAGAATGATAATTGAAGCACTATAATCTATTAACAAGACCTATGACCAATAACCTTAGTAAGTGAAATCAATCAATCTGCTAATTTTTGAGGTTGATATGTTTCTACTTAATAATTAATCATGAACCCACAAAACAGGACAGTGAGTTTATGATATATCCAAGGCACTCATCCAATATGTGGATTGAAAATAAGAGTTGAGCAATGATTTACAGGCTATGCTTCCACTTTCGGAACAGAAGTATGAATACAATGAGTTTCGAGATACACACCCTCGATGATAACAGAGCCAGGGACCTGTGCACGTTGGCCATAGATGTGCATGAATGACAACTCCGGCATCTGATAAGGGAATGTTCTGCATTCACATATTACCATAATTAAGATGACAATTGAACGCCATTATCATTAGCGATCAGCCACAGCCAGTCAATATCAAAACTACAAAATCAATAGAATCAGCTCGAGAAACCAAACTATAATTCGAATTGTACCGATGAGGATAACCCAATCGCAAGTGCGTTTCGCCGAAGAAGTTTGAGTCCCATGGCTCTCGTTGATTCTGAAGAAAGTATATCCATAGCCGATTGTCTGCAACAATTAGTTTCCACGATTTGCACACAGCGCATAGCTTCGCCGAATCTTTCGGTCCAAGAAATTTCACGATTATAATAAATATATCGAGAGGTAATCGATCAAATGCTCCAGTCGACGAGCAGTGCGATGTGTAATCATAATTCGAGTTCGAATTCGAATTCGAACGGTACGAAACCGATTCCCAAACCTTTCTCAGGAACGTGGACATGGGGTCTGGTACGGTTTTTTGTGAGAACAATGCATAATACAAAACAGTTCAGCGATGACTTCAACGTTGCTGGGTTTGAAAGAGCCACCAGAAGTGGAAGAAGGGGGAAAGCGAGAGAGAGAGAGTTCAGAATGTTGACACGTTGCGCTCGCGTAGCCGCTGATTCTTTTTACGTGGGACATCCCTAATCCTATGGCTGCTAATGCGATCTTTATTGAAGTCGATTGCTGTTTGTTATGTAGCCAGAATAAACGTCGATTTAAGGATGAGCAAATGAAAAAGTATCTCCCAAATTCCCAATACCATTTTCCCACTCTGACCAAAAAAAAATATACCATTTTCCCACCGATTCAAACACAAAAAATAAAGAGTAAATTACACCTCAAATTATAAACTTTATGTTAAAAAAAAAAAATTACACCTCAAATTATAAACTTTATATCAATTAAGTTCTTAAATTTTTTTATATTAATTAAACTCTTAAACTCTTTAATTGTATAATTGAACCTTCTGACTACTTTCGTTAGAATGTGTCACTCACGTGTCTATATAATATAAAAGGATTTAATTGACATAATTAGATATTTTAAGGATTTAATTGACATAATTAGAGATTTTAAGGTTCAATTAACATAAAAAACTTTAGAGACTTGTTGATTTAAGAGTTATAGTTTTAAGGCCATATGTATAATTTATTTCAACCATTTGCGTCGAATGACACACTTCGTCACTTTTCATTATAAAATTTAGTAGAGGCAAAAAAACTCAATTGACACGATTAGATTATTCATGAATTTAATTGACACAAAAAAAAATTTCAAAAGATTTAATTGACACAATAGTCATAGTTGGAGAGTTATATATGTAATTTATTAAAATATAAATAATCTCAAAGCTCAAGTGGTAATCGGAAAAGAGCTATAAATTTAAACGTTTTAAGTTCGAATATTGGTAATTCCTTAAACTCAGACCATGAGGAATTTATCTCTCGTGAATACCTAAGTCCGAACGTGAATGACTTGTATTTGACCCGATCGATTAAGAGATTAATCGAAATCCGCATAAATTGGTCTAAACATTCCTGACTAATGACCAAAAACAAAAATAAATATCATGTCCCTTGAGCCACAAAATCATTTTTATTTATTTATGATTGTTGATTATAAAAATAATATAATTATAAATTTGTTGTGGCCCTAAATTATGCGCTCCATTTAATTTTGATCCCTCACTTTACAATTATCACATTAGTCCATGATGTATTCAATTTATTTTTAAATGATCCAGATGCAAGACATTATCCAAAAATTTAATGATTTTCTACCCATGTGCTTTGCAAATGAAAAAGGACAAATCAATATTAGAGCAAAAAATAAAATAAAATGTTGTTCGTTGAGAAAAATATGGCGATAATGTTTCTCTCCCTAAACAATACAATTTTTTTTTGGGGATATAAGCATTTATTTGTCCAATATGTCATTCATTTTGGACACACACATTGGGTATCGTATCATATAGGCAAAAAATCGTTACAAACCTCAACAACATAATTTGTATAAATAACTTACAAATAAATTAAATGTATTAGAGATTAATGTAATATAGTTATAATATTAGAAATTAAAACGAGACATGAGGAACACCACTATAATTTTGGGGTTTATTAAAAAGTGATTTGTTAAATATGCCCTCCGTGAGCACATGGATATAAACCGTAAAAAAATCGTGTGAGTATTACTTAAAAATAAATTGAATTTAATGAAAGACTATCTAAGGTGATACAACTGCAGTATTAGGGACCCAAAATGAGTCTGAAATGTTACGTTTAATAGGAATGATGAAAAGTAGAAGGGATACACTTTGTATCATTCAAGGATATAAAGTAGGAATGATATATTTTTTTTCTGTTGTGTTTGATTTGATAGATGAAAAATAATAATCACTAATTTTTTTTTTGTGCTGGACTAAAATTAGGGGTGAAAATTGAGTCGTGTCATATCAGATTCGTGTTGAGTCATAAAATTATGAGTTTTATATATTTTTTGTTCACATGTCAGGTTATTTTTAAGTTCGTGTCGAGTTATAATCAAGTTTGTGTCATAAAATTTGTGTCGAGTTCGAATTGTGTCATCGTGTTGAGTCGATAATTTTCAGCCCTCGTTAAGATGAAAAAAATATTTTTTTTATTTTAAATTTTTATTTTTTTAATTTATATATATATATATATATATATATATATATATATATATATATATATATATATATATACAAATAAGATATATCTCAACACAAATAATTAATTTTCTATTCATTTTTAGTCCGATTTTAGAGGAATTGATTTTAGTGAATTAAAAAAAAAGTTAATTCATCAACTTATTTATTCTTCTTATTTTTTTTTTTTATAAAATATAATATTTTATTTATTCCTCCGATTGTCCGTCTATCTAATTTTCGATAAGTATTTTTCTATCGTACCAAAGGAGCAGAGAGGCCAAACTAAGCCAGGGCAATCCGGTGATTCTTGGAAACTGGAAGGGCATTGACCACAATGGACATGTGATTTTACGCTACACCCGTCCCTTTCGTTCGCATTTCCTACCAGGAGACAGGACTTACAGGAGAACCAGTAGGCGGTGGATAAAGATAGTTTTTGCGCTCTCTCTCTATCTCTCTCCCTCCCTCCCTCCTGGTGACCGATCGCGATCTATTTGCCGAAAAATAATTAGAATTTCGCCTATCAACGTAGCAATTAGTTCCTATGACAAGTCTCTGATACAAGAATTTACACATAGAGATCAGAGAATAGATATTGATTGATCCGCTGTACTAACGAAGGTTAGAAATATATTTATTGCTATATGTTCTTCGCATGTTCAGAGCACATAGATATAAATCTAAGCTGCCATTGTCAATTGTCTGGAATTCTAGGGCTTATTTGTTTGCTCTGTGTGTCGTTCTGTTTTGCTAATTTGTTATTGTGTGAAGGTGCAAATTTTGATAGTTATCTTACGGAAGTTTCATTCTTTTTAGGGTTTGAGTGCAATTTATTAAAATTTTTTTTTTTTTGGGTCAGGATTATTTTCGGAAATTAGTGGATTTTCTGAACACATGCTATCAGTCTTGTGTGTGTTGTGAATTAATAATTGTTATTGAAGGCCAGGACGTTCACTATATAATGCCATAACTACTATTAATATCATCTTGAAGGCTTGTTTTTATTTTTCTCTGTTGGCATTGTGGCACTTGTTATGCACATATCGTCATATACCATGATTCAAAGAACCTAAGTAGAATATCTCTTACCTCTTTATGGTGGGACTTTGCTAAACTATGCAACTTTGAACTGAGGTTCATAATATTGTTTTCTAGAACTGAATTCCATGGGCACCAAGTATCTGGGAAACAGTGATTTTCAGCTTTAGATAATGAAGTGCACCTCTTATAGGCGCATGCTCATTTTGTTTTCCTATTGCTTTCTGATGTGGGATGGCTTGATACTCCACACTGAAAGCCTTGCTTTCTCTTCCTTTTTTATACGATATATGTCTTGGTCTTAGCTTCTTGTCTTTTTCTTCCAATTATTATTATTATTATTTTGGTTAATACATGTTACTATTTACACCAGTTTTCAATACCTATTTGTCAAATTTTCTATGAATATTTTTTGTGTTTTTTATTTGATCTACTCTTAACATAAAACATTTTATTTCTGTAGCTACTACAAGTTTTTACTTTTTAGCATATTCATTGTTATGAATAATTATTGTTAATTTTTAATTTTATGGTTCGACCCAACGGCCGTTGACCTGGTCTTTTTGCGTGGACAATGTTCAGACTAGGTTTAATAACTATGAGGACATATGAGAAGGTGGCTTGTTTTTAGTGAGTACCTTTCACTTATCATTGCTAAATAGTGGTTTTTTGTTAATTCGTTACCTTGATGTGAAAGTCCATTTCCCTGAATGTGAAGACACTGAATAGGCCTCTTCCCTTTTTCCTCGTACATTTTTCTTTCTGCTTGTCATCTTGGCAAGTCAAACAAATTTACTTCTAGATTCATTAGCTTCATAGTAGTATGACAAACTGGACACAATGCTTTTAGTGAATTGTTGATGTTATCCGACATATATTCTTTTTAAGTGTCTGTAACTTTTGCTCAACATCTCTCCATGTCTTTCCATATTGTCTTAGATTGTACTGATAAGCATTGGTTGCCACTTGAAGCAGTGATGAAGAAACTTAAAATTAGTTGTGTGTTTTGCCTAGTCTGATAGTACATATGCAAGGTTATAATTGAACTTGATTTATGCTAATGCCTTAATTTTATGCTTGAACTAATTATGTTGTAGCCTTGTAGGTCATGATGTCCGATAACCAAGGGGATGATGCTGAGTACATGGCAGATGAATATGAAATGGAAGACATAGATGATGACATGGATGATGAATTTCGGGGCAGAGATATGGGTGGCTCAGACTCTGATGTGGATGAATATGACTACATGGTTTGTATTATGCATTTCGAAACCCACATGCAACTTAAATAATGGTTGGAGCTATTGTACTTATACTGAGTGCTCTCATAAAGTTTGTTTTCTTTGATTATGGGTGTGGTTTTTATTCACTTCAAGCAATAAATTTTTTCTTCAGTTAAGCCCGATTACCAGTTATCTGGTTCTTCTGTAGAATAATAAATTGGCAGATACTTCTGCTGCTCAAGCTAGGAGAGGCAAAGACATCCAAGGTATTCCGTGGGATAGGCTAAGCATCACCAGGGAGAAGTATAGGCAAACTAGACTAGAACAGTACAAGAACTATGAAAATATACCTCAATCAGGCGAGGGGTCAGAGAAGGTAAAACAGATTTTTTGTCCTTTGTAATATGAAACTGTGTGCTTGTTTTATAATTTCATTATTACATTTATCAATTGTCTTTTCTATTATGAATAGGAGTGCAAAATCACAAAGAAAGGGGATTTGTACTATGAGTTCAGACGCAATTCAAGATCTGTGAAATCGACAATCCTTCATTTCCAGGTCAGCTGACAAGTTTATGTCAATGTGCCTGTTATCTACAAATCTTTTTTTGTTCTCTCCCATTGTGAATGGGTGATGAATAAGCCTTCGCACCTGTTGTAAGTTTGTAACCTGAAAGAAATCCAGGTCTGCATCCATTACCTTTCTAGTATGACACACTGAATATTTATTTTGGCATTTTACCTGTGGTACTTTAAGAACATATATATCCATTCACCTAGTATCAGAGAAGCCTAGAAAGACTGATTCACCTGTTGGAGCAATTTGTTGGTATTCAATTGACCTAATTGGCAAAATGGTTTGGGTGTGAAGTTGGACGCGGGAACCCTAAAGTTTGGATGGGTTTAATGTCGGATATTTTCAGAATGAGAATCCGATGGATGTGCATGGATTTGAAACTTGCTGAATACCATGGGTTATGTGGAGGCTAATGAGGAACTGGGGCTGTACCCCACCCATTGACAAGATCAAAAGGAACAACTATATAGGGGCTTTTTTTTTTTTTGGGGGGGGGGGGGGAGGGGAGAGAGAGAGACATTAAGAGATTACCATCATAGAGATAATTTTGGCAAGAGCTGCCAAAGTGGAGGATATTGTTCAGCCAACGCCTTCATAGGGAATGCCAATATACCAAAAAGGCATACGGTATGAGTAACCAGTGAGAAAATGGGGAAACTAATTGTAACTGCCACCCACATCTGTCATGAAGGAGTATGTTGATGCAGCATAGATTTCATTACTATGATTATACTATTGAGATACAGTAAGAGAACAACTACATGCGGGGAAGTTCTTATCATACACGTAAAAGGTTGTGTAGGAGAATATTGAATATATCATTAATGTATATTCCTTCACTTCTCCTTTATGTGTGTTTACACTAAGTCATGGCTATCTTCCTTTCTATCCAAACGAAGTCTTTTCTGTTTCTAGTTAATTTCTTAAGAGTTAACTAATGCTTATATGCACATTTTGTTGTTTGGTGAATGCAGTTAAGGAATTTGGTGTGGGCTACATCAAAACATGATGTTTACCTGATGTCACATTTCTCTGTCATTCATTGGTCTTCCTTAACTTGCAACAAGTCTGAAGTCCTCAATGTATCAGGACATGTGGCACCATGTGAGGTCAGTGTTTCAGGACAATTGGAACCTTTTGTATTTGTGTATACGTATGTATATATATATTCAGTTTGTAAATTCATCTCATTATGGTCTTTGTGAAACTAATTAACCCATCTTCCCATATAGAAACATCCTGGAAGTCTTTTGGAAGGATTTACACAAACGCAAGTCAGCACGCTAGCCGTAAAAGATAAGTTGCTAGTCGCCGGAGGATTTCAGGGTGAACTCATTTGCAAGGTATGTTAGTAATTTTTCTGGTTCATATTTCCTAGGAAGTAAATAGTTCTCATGAAATTGGTACACATGAGCGCCGGGTTCAAGGGCATGACCTATTGTGTACTTGTGACAGCACTTGAGGGTGTCCGGTTTTTGCTTGTTAACTATGGCCTTAGATTGAGGACTCTAATTAATTTCACTCCACCCGCCTTACGTCGTGTGAGCGATGATCTATCAAGGCCTATAAACTGATCACTTCATCATGTGCAACTTGCCTTTCAATTTCCTCCAATTGCAAAAACAATCATACTACTGAGTTTTCTTGGTGGAACATAGTTAGAAATTTGTAGCACTTCGGGCATTCTGACAGATTTGTATGAATGAAAGAAAACAATTCTTCATATTTTGAATAATTGGGGGATTTAGTCAAACTCCTCCTCTGGGGGTGGGTGTTGTGCTTTTGAATTTGTGAAGTGTTAACATTGAGGCTGAAGCATTCTTATTTACTCTTTTAATGCAGCATTTAGACAGACCTGGAGTTTGTTTCTGTTCCAGAACAACTTATGATGATAATGCTATCACTAATGCTGTCGATATTTATACCACTCCCAGGTATTATCTTTCTCTTACTGGTGGTTTTACTCACTTTTAGTTATGAACCATGCTGAGCTTGTCTTGTTTAATTTCCCAGTGGTGCAGTTCATTTTATAGCCTCAAATAATGACTCTGGTGTTAGAGACTTCGATATGGAAAAATTTCAACTTACTAAGCATTTTCGTTTTCCCTGGCCAGTGAATGTAAGTCTCTCTCTCTCTCTTACTTAGACATGGACCCAATGGTTGGGCGAGCAGATAGGGCAGTTGGGTCAGTGAAAAAGTAGTAAGTTTTCTGTTATCTATCTGTTTTTTTGAGTTAAGGGGAGGGGGGTAGTAGACTTATATGAACTACATAGCATTTTTGCTGAAAATTGTACCTGGTAGCTCCTGACCTAATGGATATCTGTTTTTTAGCTAGATCTTTGCAAGTGTGATTTGAAGTGATAGTTGAATGTGGTCCTCTAGTAGAAGAGGTGATGGGGATTGGGAAGGAATTGGATGACTTTTTTTTCGAAATTCTGATAGTTTACTCTTAAAGTAATTCAACTCCTTCCCGATCACCATCAAGAGGCTTTTCTCCAAAAAAAGAAAAATTCTAATATATGGCTGGAAGAGTTAGAGATTCTTGCAATCTGAATATGCTTTCATTTTTCAGTTCATATGTTTTTGTATGCATCAATTGGTCATAGTGCAAAGGGGTGTGTATTTTTGCCTTCTTTTCTCTGCCTGTGCTTTGGCAGTGTTAGGTCACTTCTTGGCCTGAGGACTCGGCTGGCACTTTTACACTGCTAAGTGCTGATTGATGACTGCTGCTTTGTGTTTTCTTTCTTTGTTACAGCATACAGCTCTGAGTCCTGATGGCAAGCTGCTTATAATAGTCGGAGACAACCCAGATGGTATGCTGGTGGATTCTAGAAGTGGAAAGGTATTCCTTTTGCCTTTTTTCAAATTTGATAGAAGCCTGAATATTCTAGCATGTTGTAATTTGAACCCTAATCTTTGCAGACAGTTGCATCCTTGAGTGGGCATTTGGATTTTTCATTTGCATCAGCATGGCACCCTGATGGCTTAACTTTTGCCACCGGGAACCAGGACAAAACGTGCCGAATTTGGGATGTCCGAAACCTGTCTAAATCAGTTGCTGCTCTGAAAGGTAACCTTGGTGCCATCCGGTCAATCCGCTACACATCCGACGGTAGATTCATGGCAATGGCAGAGCCCGCAGACTTTGTCCATGTCTTTGATGTTAAAAGTGGGTACGAAAAGGAGCAGGAAATCGATTTCTTTGGTGAGATATCTGGCATATCCTTCAGTCCTGATACAGAGTCCCTTTTTATCGGAGTGTGGGATCGTACATATGGTAGCCTCCTTGAGTATGGCCGGCGGCAGAACTATTCATACCTCGATACCATATTGTGATCGGGGTGTGAACTCCGCAAATAAGTGTGGGCGTGGCCCATTTTCTTCATTTCATGTGCAATGGGACTGTGGAAATCAGTAGCAAATCCTCTAGATAAGTAGCTGGTATAGATGTAAATTTACTATTTAGGGCATTTTAATTTTCATTGTTGGTTCTGATATTAGTTCACTATGGAAGAGTGTCAGAAACTGTAGAAAAGGAGGGGGGTGTATAGAAGAGCATAGGAAGTGTTGGTCATGGTCTAGGATTAGGGATTCATTCTCAAGGACCAGACTGGGTGATTGGTTTCTGTGCTTGGGGGAACCCTAATTCGTTTCAGAAAGTTGTGAATTGTGGACTTTTCTTGCTTCGTTATTTTCATTTGACAGTTGATGCAGGGTGACCGCACTAGTTTCATGTGTGTGTGTGTGTGTGTGTGTGTGAGAGAGAGAGAGAGAGAGAGAGAGAGAGAGAGAGATGTCTTAGCCTACATACATACTATTTCATGTTTCTTAATCAAGTCAAGTGGCCAGTTGTGGGTCGGGTGGTCGGCCATTAGCTTGTTAATTAGCCAAATAGGTATGGTTAGTCTCAATTTGGTTGCGAAATCTTGTCAGCTTTCTGGTAGCGGCAAGGTAATCCATCTGCGTCGAAGAACCTACCTGTTTTGCCCAATTTTTATTCGTAGTAGTTATATTTCACAACATTTTCAATTTATAAAGAGGCTTAATATTTATTTTATCTCTTAAATACAATGTCGTAGTTTTGAATGCTTGACTATTTTTTTTTTAATGTCTTAAAACAATAATTCTTTTTTTTAATTAATTCAAAATGTGGTAAGGGAAGTTAAAAAAAAAAGTGATTAGATAGGACTTTTTTAAATGACTGTATTCATAGATTATGTTTTTACATTCTTTTTTTTTTTTGGTGTTATACGCTAACTAGAAAAGAAATAATTTACTTTGGGTCATAATAATAAACATTATTGGTAAAAATGTAATTGGTGTGTTGATGAGAAGGATAAAATTGGAAGAAAAATATTATTAATGGAATATAGAACTTTTGGGGAATAAATTATCAAAAATAGGACTTAATTATCGTAAAGTAAAGATGGTACAACTTAATGGTTCTTTTGGATGAATAAAAGGATTTATTGGTAATTTTTTCAGTAATTTTTTGGATAAGGAGAAGAAGAAAAAAGAAAAGAAAAATCAAGGAGGGAATTGAACCCGACGTGAATCGAACACGCAACCTTCTGATCTGGAGTCAGACGCGCTACCATTGCGCCACGGATCCTTGTCTAATTTCTGTATATATCTATATATATATATAGATTGACCGAGCGATCAGACCAACAAAGTCAAGAATCTCCGATTTAGAAGAACCAGTAAAGCATAGCCAACTCGTCATTATCGTCGTTGGGGGTGGTGATAATGAGTTCTGTTTTGACGAGGGTGGACCAAAATTATTGAAGTTTCATCCAAACTCTTTTATTAAAATAATTATATTTTATTATTATAATTTTAGTTAGTTTAGAAGTTATTAGGTACATGGGATTCTAAACCACAAAGTATTCCAAGTTAATTTGGTAACTTTTTATTTAAGAGGTTTATGAGCTGAATAAAGGCTACAATATTTAGATTTGGACCACCTTCCTTATCCTTTTGAAAGGAAAATGTTATTTGGACCTAAAAATTCGACATAATTTGTTGATCTAATGATGTGACTTCAGTAGAACCATTGGATTAACACCAAGTTCCAATGTTTGATAGAACTCACAGTCCATCCAAAAGTCATAATGAATTAGATCAACAAATTAAGTCAATGAATTAGGTTCCAATAATATTGCTGCTTTTTGAAATATTTTTCCTATACACATACCATTGCACTGTCATGGTTTGAAAATTTAATGCTGATAAGAATTTTATTTTTGAAACAGTAAGAGTTTAAGGCACTACTTGTTTTGATCAAATGATAACTACAACATTTATACTTATAATTGTCTACTTGAACATGAACTCTATGAAACATTGAACTCTCATAACTAAGTGTAAATTGAAGTCAATAAAAAAAAAATATATATGACATAAAATATAATTTATTAGACATAAATTAATTAAATATAAATAAAATAATTTTTGACACGAATCTATCAAAATCTGACACAAAGCTCTTCCTCAGGTGTGAGTGTGTATTTATAAATCTTCGCTTAATCCTTACTCTGTTAGAGTAAATGATTAAGCGTGAATCAAAAAAACCAAGACTTCTTCGTAGGGTAGGCGGCGTTTGATGTTGGGCGAGAATCCCATGCTTTGGGCCGTTAAGCCCTGCGGTCACGATAACTACGCCGGGTATCGGAGAATTGGACTATCCACGTCGAATAACTTCGGGTGTATGTGTTTATAAATCTCCAGCTGGCCTTACACACCGTTAGAGTAAGTGATTAGATGCGAATAATAAAAAAAAAAAAAAAAAAACCAAACAAGCAAAGCTCATCCCCGTTCCTCCGCACTCTACATGTAAATGGTATCATCGTCTCCATTTACTTCTGATTAAGATGTCGACCCACCTGGGCAACGACCCAATAACGGCTACTACCAACGCCTCCACTGAAAACGCTACAGATTGTCCATCGCAACCACCTTCCCAGAGCGAGAGCCCATATGGCCAATCTCACCATAGCTCCCGCGAGACCAAGACTTACCCTAAACCAGAAGCTGAATACCAAGAAATTAAACAGAACCCAGATGTTTTCTTTGAAAAGCTTCAGGGTTTCCACACATCCTTCGGTACCAAGTTCAGGTAAGTGGGTTTTCTTTGTCATTATATTTATGTTCTTAGCATTCAAGTGATAGATTGTTCATGTATGCATGTTTTTAGGGGGGCCAATTTTAGGTTGATTTTTGGTATTTGTAGTGTTTTATAAATTTCCTTATGTTTTCATGATGATGTTCCACCCTGATTCCTATGGCATACGTTATAAATATCTTATTCTTACCCCACCTGAAAATTAGTTTACGTTAATGTGGATGGGGACTATTCGGTGCCTGGAATTCTTTTGCTCACCCCTCTTCTTTTTCACTGTCTTATGTGTGTAATTCATTTGTTTAAATACACATTTGCATGTGCATGTATGTGCCTGTGTGTATAAAGCGGGCTGAACAGGCTTGTGTGATCGCAGATTCACAATGGATACACTGTGGTGGCCTGGTGGGTAAGGAAATATCAAAAAATAACAGCCAATTTAGTTTTGGGAGTAAGAATATAAAGTTTTGTTTTTAGGAATTTAGTGTTGTATGCTTTTCATGATTGGTTTCATTTTTTACTTTACTGTTAAGATCTCTTCGAAAGAATTAGTGTATGATTATTGTTTCCAATGTGAGTAGATTGTATTGAGGGTATGGCTTATTATGTCCCCATAGCTAGGTGTAATTTTCATTTAATTTAATAAAATTACACCCTCGGACCTCCGTGGTTCAAACTTAAAAAAAAAAATTAGTGTACAAGAATTGCAGTACTTAATGCCTTAGTACGATTTAATAAATGAGTATGACATTACTTCCGGTTTCTAAGTAGAGTTGCATGCTAAACAGAATCAGAGAATGATTCTTGGATTTTATAGAAAGAAACCTATGGTTCACTAACCTTTTACTTGCTTGTTATGTGGCCTATTGCATGGTTAATAACATACTTTAGACTTTAAAGTCAGTAATTGTGTTGAACTATAATCTGTTTAACAATGAATCTTCTGTATGTTATCCATAGGCACGATCCCTGAGCTCATCAGGCCTTTAACAATTAGATTTCATGGTCTGCAATATTTTTTGGAGGATTAAAAACGACTTATGCAGTGGATAAAGAACAATAATTTCTATGGTTCGTAAAAATTTACTGGTTTCATTGAGCTTCACAGCTCTATGGGATATTAACAGTTTTTCCTTTTCACCAAAACTCCAGATTTCTTTTGATGCTTGAGCCACATTCAGATTTAGCCAGATGCCTGATACCTAAATGGCATCCCAAGTTAGATAAGAATATTCCTTATTATTATTAATTAGTTTTTATGCAAAATATATTGAACGACAATCTGGTTCTTTCTTGTCAGTAAATATTGGTGATTTAAACGTGTAATTGTCTAAATTTGGATTTTGGATAAAGTAGCCTTGATAGAGTAATATCCAGGTAACAATTTAGGTTTAAAGTTAATTGTTGCCCTTATTTCTGGTACTTTCTTAGTTTGCCTAATTACCTCCAGGCCAAGAGAACTTTGAATTTGGATGTATGACAGCGCCAATAGTTCCTGGTTGAAACCATCTACTGTAATATCCACCTGTATAGGATGGACCAGTATTTCAAGTGCTTGTATCAATCAGCATTTACGCCCGGACAATTATCCCACAAGAAAGGTAGAAAATTGAAGGGGGAGAAAACCCAAGTAGAAGAGGCATCAACCGCCTACCATATTCACTGCAAATCCATTACAAAATTAATCCAGAGAGATTAGCTCATTGGTATTCTAATTTTATATCTGAGCACTAAGTTAAGTTATATGTGTAAGGAACTGCTAAAAATATGCGGATCTTTATCTGTTTTATTATATGCCTAATAATTAATCAGAGGAAAAGTTTTGGGAACTGTTGGTTGGTTAGTTTTGTGTATTCTCCTCGCCTTTTAGTTGCATTTGTATTTGTCGCGTGGAGCTGTTTTTTTCCCTGTTTTCTTGTTTTCTTTTCTTTCTTTTTTTAAGGGTTCTCCCTTTTGATTCTCTTCACGGACACGTGTGATTTATATTTTCATATTCCTTATTGTGTGAGACTTTGCCACACTTACTCTTTTTGCGTGGGAGGATACCTGTAACTTTCCTTGTGAATTGCTGTAATTTTCTGACATATTTTCCCTTTTGGTATGGGTTATTCAATATTCTTCTTACACTTCTGTGCTTCGATTTCATGCTCTACAACATCACAGTTTATTCTTGGGTTGATATTAATGGAGTTCTAAATATTGAATGGTGATTAAC